CTATGGATGGATGTTTTGTTGCGATCTAGAGAGAGTCTAGACAGAGTCGTGTCTTCAGTTCTTGGTACGGCTCTCACAGCGTTTTGCAAGGATCGTGAATTTAGGGTTGAAACCATGGGCCCCTAGTATGGGCCCTTGACCCTGGCGTCCTTATATACCTACTATGTACCCTATATGTACCCTTAAGGGACCCTAGAACCCCCCTAAGGGCCCATATTAGGGGCCCACCTTGGAGTGAATGAGGTCTTGAATGTGGGCTTCGGGTCTAGGACTGGGCTCTCAGGAGCCCGGTACTCGCTTGGGTTTAGGACATAGGGTCGCTGTCCCCCGCAATTGACAGCTTAGGGTTTGGAGCTTAGGGAGTTCATGCAGTTTAGAGTTTAGGGTTTAGGGGAGTTTAGGGTGTAGAGCTTAGGGTTCAAGGCTTCACGGGACATGGCTGAGGACACAAGCACAACCGCAAGCAAGCTAGAATCGTCAGTGCAAGAGTCGAACACTGCTCTCACGAAAGGACGGCACCGCACGGAAAGTCGATGACACAGCATGTGCCAAAGCCCTAAACCCTAAACCCTAAACCCCTAAACCCTAAACCCTAAACCCTAAACCCTAAACCCTGACCATAGGTGCACACAACTTACCCACCCCAAGGATTCACGCTCATCTTCTTACCGTCTTCAACAGCCCCAAAGTCTCACCACGCATCCGTGCAGCAAAATAAGTTCAACTCTGGAATTTCAGAAAATTCAACACAAAATAATTTTCTCCTATAGTCATAAAAACAAATCATAGACTGCAACTAAAACTTCAGAGCATAATGAAGTTGATCAATCCCAGCATTCTGACACACAGGCTCAGCTTGAACTTGCAAGGTATCCAAACTGTCCTTATCGGCATGTATCTCTTAGAACACATCGCATCATACACCCTGTAGTTGTGCGTATGTATATGTTAGACGGATATAAATATGTTATGTATGGGTTCATGTACATGTAAGTATCTATGTCTTTATTGATTCTTCATTCCTTGTTTATCTATTCATTGATCTCCCTATTCATTTACTGCCCCGTCGAACTTGCAAACCCTAAACCCTAAACCCTAAACCCTAAACCCTAAACCCTAAACCCTAAACCCTAAACCCTAAACCTTCAACGCCAGGCACTCAGGGGCTCCCGGCGTTGGTCAAACTCGGGGCCCCCAGAACCGTTCCGAACGGGGTTGGTCCTGTTCTAGAGGGAACCGAAAAGGGCTCCACATAAGGGCCCGGATCTATAAGGGGGCTATACTTCTACATGCTTGACGATATATATATATATATATATATAATAAACAAGCTGTATCTGGTTGAGTTCCATCAGAAGTGTTCAGGATTGCCGGATACGGGTTGAGGGCTCACCGTTTGCAATTTGAGGGGAGTTTAGAAATCAAAAGGCTTTCAGGTCTTATGGGCTCTTCCTTATTTGCTGAGCAAGTCGCTGGAGATGGAATCTTACAAGCGAATTAATTGCATGGGGACGCGGGACGCCCTGCATACTTGAAGCAGGTCCGCAAAGCGGTCCGAGGGTTTAGGGTTAAGGGTTTTTTACACTTTAGGATTTACGGTTTAAGGATTCTGACTCTTCATATTAAAGGCTTGGCTTCCTCCCTGAACTGTACCCTTTCGAATCACAAGCTTTTGACCCTCGGCTGCAGCCCCGAAACCGTAAACACCCAAGCTAAGGCTCCTACAAACCTACATCCTGAAGCCCCGAAGCCTGAAATCCTATACAGCAAGAGACCATAAAATGCATACGTACATAAATACATACATATATACATACATACATGCATGCATACAGATGCATATGCATAATCTGTGTACATGAGAAGCTACAGATGTAGACACGATGAAGACCCGACGAAATCCTGAGCCCTGAACCCTAAACCCTAAAACCCTAAACCCTGAGCCCTAAACCCTAAACCCTAAAACCTAAGCCGTAAACCCTAAACCCTAAAAAAACCCTAAACCC